GCATTCCCTGCCCCTCTAAGGCAAAACACAAGTGTTTGGTGCAAAACCAGACACTAAACGGTCGAGTTCGGGGATCCTGAGGCGGGGCGCGCAAGCCGAGATTTCCGGGAACTCCAAACGAACACAAACATGGATGATCACCGAGTGTTCAAACGGTGACGTCCAAGTCTTGAGGACGGTCAAAAATGGGGTGTCTACAGTTTCTAGCGAAGCTTGGTCCGGAATGCCACTAGATCCATCTGTCGCCTAATTTATACAATACAATTTACATAAGTATGCATAAATTTAGAAAATGATAACATATGATAAATACATCATACAAAAGAATATATATATGTAGTTATACCTACAAACCACTAGAACTATGTCTCTGTCTCATTAAAAATGCTACTTGCTCTTTTAAAGAGTTTATTATAGTATCTTGAGCTTGCAACTGAATACCTTGAGTTTGCAACTGATCACCTTGAGTTTTTAGTTGTTTCTTCAACTCAATTATAGTGTCTTTGTCTCTTATTCTCTCTTCATCAGAAACCATTCTTAAGTGGTCAAAAGTATTACATATGAAGCCATGCTTGGAAGGAGTAGGCCCAAATCCTAAACCTCGAACACGACCATGATGCTCTTTACCCATCACTTGAGAATAAATATCATTTGGTGACCAAGATATACGGCCACTAACATTTCCTTTGGAGCTACTTGGTTGTGAGCTCATCAAAGCTTCTAGTTTTTCCTATAGCATAAATGGGGGGAAAAAATAAGAAGACAAAGTGATTGTTTGCCACAAACACATTAGAATTTTGAAAATGTAACTTATTAAATGGGCATACAATTTTTGCAGCTGCTGCTTCATTGACTGGTGTCCCATCCTTCCTTTTGTGAAGCGGTATATATAATTTTGCTCGATCTAGTGCAATCTTATCTTTTTGCTCCTATGTAACAATCACATCATTTCAGAATAAATTCATAATACAATGTGCTAACCAAATTCAAAATATAAAACAAGGAATGAAGTTTGAAATACCATATCATATGCATGTTGTGCATAAGTTTTAGATCCTGCTGTATGTGCACTTGTTTGCTCTCGCCGGCTTTCCTTATTGGTTGTACTAAGTTCCTTTAGTCCTAAATGCATAACGATATGTTTAAAAAAAAATGATATAATGACATTGTATTATTTGATAGAAAACATACATCTATGCATACCTGTCCTTCCTTTGAAAACCAATACGCGACAAGGTCAGCATAGTGCTCACGGTTAACTGTTAAAGGCGCAGTAGCTACTATCTGTGATGTTGTCTTTGTCTCATCATAGTACTTTGCTTTTAAACTACATTTCCAATTTCTCCATTTCTCTCCCGTTGACTTCAATGTTCGATGCCTAATCATATCCCTTCTCTCATCTTGAGGAATGGCAAACTTAGACTACAATTGTATGTTTTTTCATGATATGAACATTCTTAAAATTATCAATACAATAATATAAACTAAATTTGTGCATTTCTTTGCCTAATTCTCATATTTTTATTTTTACTTCAACTACAATAGCATGGAAGATTGTCCTTTTCACATGCATATGATCTCTCTTATAGTAGAATTATCACAAAATACTTGTAGTTAGAAAATTATCTCGATAATATTCCAACAATCTTCTTTATACTGATCTGGCACTTCATGCCAATTCTTGTACTTAATTGGGCATAAGTGTGGCTTCCTAGCAATGGTGCCTATGAAGCGACTGAACACACCACCCTCTGTAGAAATAGCCTGCAAATCCTTGTTGAAGGTGAGCATAATGCATTCTTTTGGAGTCAAATTCCACACTTCAACCATACGTGTAATTCCCTACGGGTTTCGCTTGGTCAATGCATCTATTGCAATACAACAACGAAATATATCATGGAAATGAAGGTTGACTTGTAATTTGTACCTAAACTAAAAATCTAATAATACATGTACGTTGCATTTCTTCTTCCCTTAACCAGTCCTCATCTAAATCATCTTCAAACTGAAGGTTAACCTCTGATTCTTGAGGTTGAGGGTGTGGAACATGTGATGGAGCATGTGACGAGGGATGTGACCAACTAGGTTGTGAAGAGCCATTTGATCGACTAGGCTGTGAAGTTCCATTTGGCTGATTAAGCTGTAAAAAGGCATTTGAACGACTAGTTTGTGAAGTTCTATTTGGCCTGTCCAGCTATGGGGAGCCAATTGACTGACTAGGTTGTGAAGTTCCACTTGGTGCGTTCAGCTGTGAAGGGTTATTTGGCTGGCTAGGCTGTGAAGAGCCATTTGATCGCTTGTTCTGGGACTCATTCTCAAGATTGCAAGTTCTAAATCGTTTATTTGCCATATCTACTAGATAAACAACAGACGTAATTAGTCAAACACAAAGATATTAATCAAATTAAATGAGCATTTATCATACAGTTTAGTAGTTAAATGTTAAAACCAAGTTTCATTGTTGAAATAAAAATTGTGTCAGCAGTGCATTGTGGTCTGAACAGTTTTCAAAATCAAAAGCGCTTCTCACTTAATGTTTTCTTTGACATGGTTCTGTGTATTTTGCAAATCAGGTGGGTATTGTTCTTCTCAGTTGTGCCTTCTTCTATGACATATTTTGGGTGTTCATTTCTAAGAAGTTGTTCCATGAAAGTGTGATGATTGTGGTAAGTAATCTCTCAATATTGCCTGCACTATGCTAGAGCATGATTAACTGGTTCAGAATAATATCACTTTTGAGTCGTTAACAGTAATTTGAAACTTTATAGGTAGCTCGTGGTGATAAAAGCGGAGAGGATGGTATTCTAGTGCTACTAATTGTCCGAACATCCACCAATTCATTAGAAAGAATAAATAACACATTGGCAGATCAACAGAAAATGACACATGCCAATGACATATTGCAAACTTTTGATAAAAGGAAAGTGGTTGATAGTGTGTCATCAAAGCCCTATGCAAAATAAATAAATAATATATATATAGATAATAATTGAATCGTGAAACATCCATTATATAGAGTGGAAATCTATCCAAAATATTTTTCCATTACCAGAATTAAATAAACACTGTGAACCTAAATCTGAAAGCATGTCATAGTACTAAATGTATTTGAGGCCTTCCCAAGTAATTATTTTATATTACCATAATGTTGTTCACAAATAATGATTGAATTGTGATATATTACCACTCTTACCAAAATAAAAGCTTAATAATTTGATTCAATTGTACATCCTAAAGCTCCACAGATCACTGCCCCAACAAACAACAGCAACAAAATCAGCCACCAATCACACCAGCATTGACAAAAGTAGCATAAAAAAAGAGCAACCTCCATAACAAATCACGCACAGCCATTAGCAGACAGATTACACACCATAGATCACAAAACACATCAGATCACCCACAGCCAATTGGCTACATTCTAGTGAAATTAGCAAAACAGGGCTAGACTTAGCTCCCCTTCCCAATACAATAGCATAACACGACACAATAATAGTACTACATTCATACAAGTGTGGACATACATGACTATAATCACCTCTCTTAGATGGGTGCGGACTTCTTTCTTCTCAAGATATGATATACCTACATTCACAAACTAAAAGTTTTTTTTTGGGTGAATAACAAACTAAAAGTTAAAACCAAAGAGAGCATAAAAACAATATTGTCAAGATGTTGATTTTCCAGTCCAAGTTTTTAATAGCCATATTTAACAACAAACATTAAAATAAAATAAAAAACCATCAGTTATCTATTAGAAGAAACATAGATGTCCTCATTAATAACCCATACAATATACTTCAATGGCAACTAGACAAGTGTCCTGACAAACCCACACAAATTTGAGATCGAATACAAAGTAGCAAATTGATGCAAACATAATCATAAAGAAGAAAACAGATAATTTACCTGGTTTGGCTTACGCCCTACATCCACAAGGGGTATGTGATTAAAAAAAAATTGCAAAACATGGGTTGCCATACATATATGAAACTAAGAAATTTGAAATTTATATTCAAAACCAAATAATGTTTCAAAGATTAACATGAGAATAAATAAATTAAAATCAAACTAGTTGAACTCAACAACTAGACATCCTCATCTAAATCATCTTCATCGATCAGTTGGTTATCAAGTGGAAGTGGTATATTGATTGTCGTTCCATCTGTATCATTTCTAGCCCAATTGAGGTTTTCATTCGCATCCACATAAGTGTCTTCAACTATCATATTATACGGCTCGTTATCATAGTAAGTGTCAATATCACCATCACACAATTCACTAGTACCAACATCAAACACATCCCTCGCTTTTGTTTTAACAACAACCAACCAATTTTCATGCCTTACATCTCCCACATAATAAACTTGTGAAGCTTGAGATGACAAGACAAATGGTTCATCATTTAACCGTTCTCCAGTATCTATCAAATGCGAAAATTTTACAAGGTTAAACCCATATTCATCTATCTTGTAGCCTCTGCCTATGTTCACATCAGCCCAATTGCATTTGAATAATACATATTTCAACTTGTCAAAATAATTGAGCTCAATGATATCAAATAAAACACCATAATACATGGTGCCTCCTTCGGTGGCCACACAAACCCCATTATTCTGAGTTTTCTTCGCCGCCTCGTAATTTTTAATTCGGAACTTAAAACCATTAACAACATATCGTTTGAATCGTCTAGCTAGAGTGTTTGGGCCTTGAGCAAGCCACTTGATTTCATCAGTAAGTTGTTGTTTTCTTGTGTCATCCATAGCTACAACCTTATATATTATAGGATCCATTAAAATGATTACATTAATCTCTATGCTAAAAATTGTATATGGTAATAGTATTATTTAATAGCTACATACTTACATATGATCTAAACCACTCACAAAGCTTTTCCATATGCATCTTATTAAGAACTTCATCAGTTAGACGACTCGGATGACTTTGTCTCTTTATATGCTCCTTGTGTTCTCTGTATATATAAACCTTACTTGTATTACTATTGCAAGTATTAAAATGGAAAACTCAAACTTATTTATACACCGTAACTTATAAATATTGCTTACATCCGATATGGTTGAATTTCATCATTGTTAAATAGCACATAACGATGTGCTAGTATCCATGACTTTTGATCAAGTTCGATATTCATTATTGCCCCTGTAGATACTTCAACATTTCTTAAGGGTCGATTGAATACAATTTCAACAGATTCCAAATATCGCAAACAAAATATTAAGCACTCTTCAGCTATGTATCCTTCTACAATAGAGCCCTCTAGATGGGCTTTGTTACAAACATAAGATTTTAGTCGTTGGAGATACCTACATGAAAAACAATATAATTATAGATTGACTAAATTGGGATGTCAATGTGATGTAGGTTAAAAACACAAATGGATACAACTCGTCACGCCTAACCTCTCAATGGGATACATCCATCTATAGTGAATTAGGCTAGCAATTTTAGCCTTAGTGGCCAAATGGACAACTAAATGCACCATAACAGTAAAAAATGAGGGAGGGAAGATTCTCTCCAAATTGCATAAAGTCAATACAATTCGAGATGCAAGTCGGTCAAGCTCTTCCACTTGCAAGACTTTGGAACATATTTCCCTAAAGAAACAAGACAACTCAATTAGAGGTGAAGCGACTTGTTTTTGTAATGCTCCTCGTAATGCGATAAGAAGAAGTTGCTGCATCAAAATATGACCATCAAAACTCTTCAAACCAATAATCTTATGCTGTCGAAGTTGGATACAACGTGAAATATTTGAAGCATAACCATCCGGGATTTTTACCCCTTTCAAAACTTTCAAGAAGTCATCTTTCTCTTTTAAAATCATTGAGAAGCAAGCTGGAGGCAAATATATCTTATTGGAACTAATCTTTTGTGGGTGAAGTTCACGTCTTATACCCATCTCTTGTAAGTCAAGACGTGCCTTCAAGTTATCCTTTGTCTTCCCATCTAAATTCAACAATGTTCCATATACATTATCAATCACATTTTTCTCTATATACATCACATCAAGATTGTGACGCAATTTTTGATTTGTCCAATACGATAATGTAAAAAATATACTTCTTTTCTTCCATGGTTGTATCTCATCACCATCCGCTTCTTTCTTTCTTTTTTTGTTTTTTTCATTTGCCTTTGTCTTCCTAAATTTGTAATCAAGGTCTTCTGTTTGCATCATGATCTTAAAGCCAGCTAGCATATCGGGAGCTGGTTCTATTTCTTGTTTGCCATCAAATGATGCTCTATCTTTACAAAATCTATGATCTTTATCCAAGAAATGCCTTTGACCCATAAAACAATATTTTCGTCCGTGTTTTAACCATCGAGAATGAGTCTCATAATTACAAGAAGGACATGCAAGAGCACCCTTGGTGTTCCAACCAGACAAATCACCATATCCAGAAAAGTCATTTATAGTCCACATTAGAGTTGTATGCATTTGGAATTTCTCTTTGGAAGATATATCATAAGTTTGTTCTCCAACATCCCATAATTCCTTCAATTCTTCAACTAAAGGCTGCATGTACACATCTATGTCATTTGAAGAGGAGCTCGGACCAGGAATAAGCAATGATAGGATGAAAAAAGATCTTTTCATGCACATCCATGGAGGCAAATTACATGGGACCAATATGACTGGCCATATACTATAACTAGTACTCATATTCCCATAAGGGTTAAATCCATCTGCTGCCAACCCCAACCTGACATTGCGAGAGTCAAAGGAAAAATCTACATATCGAGAGTCGAATGTTTTCAAAGCCATAGAATCGGCAGGATGCCTCATTATGCCATCATTTGTACGGCCTTCAGCATGCCATTTCATAGAAGCAACTGTTTTTGAAGACATAAACTATAGCGATCCCGGTTGTCCCTTTACTGTTCTGTTGTATTTCGAACTCGGTTCCGTGAAGTTGGTAGTGGTATCTTGTCACAATCCAACAACCTGCCCCTAAAGGTTCGGGCATGACCTATGCAAAAACGGACATAAAAACTGATGTACATACCGTACGGGGCCTTATCGGAAGCATAAAATATTAATATAACATAATACAAGTATACTCCATTGAGCTATTTTTAATATGCCAGGATCTCATGCATTACATATATTGTCAAAAACGGATAAAGTTTAAAACTATATCCTTGGATATTGTGTACAAACATATACATTTACAGTCTTAGCCTGATAATTGGCATAACAAAAGGAATATAGAAGTTATATACAACATCCGTAGATGGCTTTCAAAAGTAAACCCAAATCTTAGCAGCTTCACAAAAACAAATGGCCTGGTATGGTGCCTGGACATGTAAAGGTTGATAAAAGGGACAGCGTCAAGTTAGGATTGACCCCCTGACTGACGACCTACAAAAACAGACATAATAGAGAGTGAGCTAGGCTTAATGAGTAGTAATACATAATGAACGACGTCTAACTTGAAATTTAAATACATCAATACATAAAAAGATGCAGCATGCACTTGATTTATCTGATTCTGCGTTTGGTTCATATTGGCCCTAGGCCTAATCCTGTGACATGAGCATGTGGCTATCAGCCCTTGAAACATGATGGCACGAAGCCCTTGAACATGTGGCATAAGGCCCCTGCAATTCACTTGAAACTTGTGGCACGAGGCCCTTGAAATACACTAGCAACTTGTGGCACGAGGCCCTTGAAAATACACTTGAAACTTGTGGCACGAGGCCCTTGAAATACACTTGAAACTTGTGGCACAAGGCCCTTGAAATTACACTTGAAACTTGTGGCACAAGGCCCTTGAAATTGGCATAAAGCCCTTGTAATTGTTTTTCTTTACATGCTTTAACATTAACATATCCTAAACATGCATAAATAAATTACATGCTTGAGACATTAACATAATTGCCTTACATGCCTTGAAACATTGACATGATTGCATAACATTACATAGGTACTACTACTCACAGTGTTGAGGTGGCGTGTTGCTTCCTTCTGGAATGTGCCCTGCACCCAATTAATACATTAGTTTTCTTTTCCTGAGTCTTACACCTTGCATGCATTTACAACCGCTTTAAAATCATCTATAAAATATTCTAAAAATACCAGAGAGACAAGCATTTAAAACTGAACCGACATTTAATTTTTCCTGAAAATGAGTCTCCCGCTCGAGTGCCACTTTGTTCGCTCGAGCGAACTGTAAAATGTACAAAACTGCTGAGAGGTGGTTTTTTCCGCTCGAGCGGGCTTTCCGCCGCTCGAGCGGACCGAGCAGATTCTGAAATTCTGAACCTCCATTCGGGTCCCAACCTGGTATTCACTCCATTTTTTTTACATGCAACCCAAGGTTAGGTTAATGCAATATTCCCACCTAACATCACTATAACATGGATTCTACCTTGAGTATAGTAAATTAACCAAGATTAGAAGCTTCAACAAGCCATCTCTCTCTCTAATTCCATTCTTGGATTCAAGTTCTTCATATCCTTAAAACATAACACATGATATATGCATAATTCCATGAAGTGATGATAGAAAACCGTAGATTGAAGTATAATTTCATACCACACCCAATCTAGATGCCTAAGCAACCAATTGAGAGAAACCCTCATTAATCAAGCATGAATTAGACATGAGTCAAACATACACATCAATTACAACTCTAAGTGGCCATAATAAGAAGGATTTGAGCTTACCTTGAATTCAATCCTACACCTCTAACAATTTTGCCAAGCTTTCTTGTTGAATCCCTTCTCTCCCGATTTCTTTTCTTCACTTTCTCTTCTTTTCTCCCCCAAAATGGTAATCACATTTTTTTTTGTTTTTTGACCAAGGCTCATGAAGTCTAAGAAGTATATATATTCATAACTAAGGCATATAAGACAAAAATGAATCGTTTAATCATTCCAAAATTAAAATTTCGCAAACATGCTTAATATTACTTAAAAATTATGCTGATCACAGATATATAATCAATTTCAGCTAATTAAGCTGTTAAGACTTCCAATTTCTAATTCAAACGTGTTAATGGTGACAAATAGTTTCCTTGTGAGACAGATAGACACTCAGAGACATGCATTTCACTTCCTTTTTCATACTTTTTCACGGAACTACACAGTAAAAATTTAAAAGTACCAATCGAGGACTAAGAATATAACAGAAATCATGTGCGAGGGTCGGGTTATTACATATCTATCTTGTTGTCATCCTTTAATTCCACTTGATTGAGTTTTAGGATGTTTTGAGCAGGGTTGTTACAGGCTGGTTAGGCCTTGGTTTCAATTCCTTGTTGTCCAGTTTTTAGGCGATCCGCTCGAGCGGGTCTTCTTGCGCTCGAGCGGGGATTGCACACCTCCAGTATTTCGTGTTCCTGCAAAACTTCTGCAGATGTGATTTTTACGCTCGAGCGGGTTTGTTTACGCTCGAGCGGTAGCGCTCGAGCGGGTTTGTTGGCGCTCGAGCGGGTAGTACTTTCTGGGTATAAGTTCTGGGAGGGGAAAATCTACGCCCGAGCGGACTGATTTTCGTGCTCGAGCGGAAGTGCTTTATTCTTGTGTCTTGGAGCTCGAGCAGGACTTATTGCGCTCGAGCGTGTCCAGATTTTTGTTCTTGGCGCTCGAGCGTTGTGTTCTCCGCTCGAGCGGGTCATGCGTATAGGAGTTATCCGCTGGGTGATTTTAAATCACTTTTTACTTTCCTTTCTCTCTCCTACTTTTTCTAAAACCCATTTTTGAGAGCCCATCTCTCTAGAAACTCCCTTCTCTCTAGGGTTTGATCTGGCTAGGGTATTTTCCTCACCTTTGGTCTTCACAAAAGTTGTGTTGATCGTCAAGGGCGTCGTTTTGATCTGAAAATCTTGGCTTTTGGAGCACTTTGGTTTTGGTCTCTTCTCCATCCGAGCTCTAACTTCGAGGTAGGGATATCCTACTCCTCTTTATGAGTTTTGTCTTTAAATTTTGGCATTTTGATATGTTGGGGGTTGTTAGGTAATTTTGAGAGAGTTTGGGCCTTTGTGTAATTTTACAAAAGTTGGGGTTTTTATTTATGTAAAACCTAAATGCATGTTTGGCATGGAAAAGTGAAATTAATGTAAAACATTAATGAAAATGGGACCTAAGGGTTGTAATGTTAATTATGGAAAATGCCCTAATTACATTGATTGATTTCCGAGCGTACTATTCAGATCCCTGAGGATATGCTTCGAGGTTGTGTCCTGGACTTCAGTGGGACGTGGGAGAGGCACTTACCATTGGTGGAGTTTGCAATAAAATAAAAAAACCGATCAGTTTATCATTTAGAAGAACATAGATTGTCCCCAATTAATAACCCATACAAGTAACTTTGCACATGGCAAAACTAGACAAAGTGTCCTGACAAACCCACACAAATTTGAGATCGAATACAAAGTAGCAAATTGATGCAAACATAACAAAGAAGGAAAACAGATAATTTTTACCTGGGTTTGGCTTAACGTCCTACATCCACAAGGTGAGTATGTGATTAAAAAAACATTTGCAAAACAGGTTGCATAATAATATGAAACTAAAGAAATTTTGAATTTATATCTCAAAACCAATAATGATTTCAAAGAATTAACATTGCTGAGAAATAAATACAATTTAAAATCAACAACTAGGTTGAACTCAACAACTAGACATTCCTCAGCTAAATTTCATCTTCATCGATCAGTTGGTTATCAAGTTGGAAGTGGGTGTTATATTGATTGTGCGTTCCATCTGTATCATTTCTAGCCCCATTGAGGTTTCATTCGATCCACATAAACAGTAGTCTGCAACTATCATATATAGGCCGTTATCATAGTAAGTGTCAAATATTTTCACCATACACAACTTCACTAGTACCAACATTCAAACCACATCCCTCGCTTTTGTTTTAACAACAACCAACCAATTTCAATGCCTTAATCTCCCACCATAATAAACTTGTGAAGCTGAGATGACAAGAACAAATGGTTTCATCAATTTAACCGTTCTCCAGTATCTATCAAATGCGAAAATTTTACAAGGTTAAACCCATATTCATCTATCCTTGCTAGCCTCGCCTAATGTTCACATCAGCCACAATTGCATATTGAATAATACTATATTCAACTTGATCAAAAGTAATTGATCTCAATTGATAATCAAATTAATAAAACACCACTAATACATGGTGCCTCCCTTCGGAAGGCCACACAAACCCCTTATTCTGAGTTTCTTCGCCGCCTCGTAATTTTTAATTCGGAACTTAAAACCATTAACAACATTCGTTTGAATCGTCTAGAGCTAGGGCTTGGGCCTTGAGGCAAAGCCACTTGATTTCATCAGTAAGGTTGTTGTTTTCTGTTGTCATCCATAGCTACAACCTCTATATACTATAGGATCATTAAAATGATACAATTAATCTCCTATCGCTAAAATTTGTATATGGTAATATTATTTTAATAGTACATACTTACATATGATCTAACCACTCACAAGCTTTTCTCATGAAAATACTTAATATAAAGACTCTCTCGCTCTCGCAACGACATCGGATGGGAAACTTTTGTCTCGTTTATATGCTCCTTGTTGTTCTGCTGTATATATAAACCTTACTTGTAAATTTACATTTTTGCAAGTATTTCAAAAGTGGGAAAACTCCAAACTTATTTAAACACCGTAACTTATAAATATTGCCTTACACTATCCGATCATGGTTGAATTTCATCATTGTTAAATAGCACATACGATGTGCTAGTTCCATCGACTTTTGATCAACGTTCGAATATTCATTATTGCCCTGTAGATTACGCTTCAACATTTCTATAAGGGTCGATTGAAATACAATCTTCAACAGATTCCACAATATCCGCAAACAAAATATTAAGCACATCT